AAAAAAAAAAAAAAAAAAAAAAAAAAGAGTTGAAAGGATTAGGAAGACCAAGAAATAATGTGGTGAAGATTTTTTTTTTTTTAAGATTTAAAAAAAAAATATTCCAGGAGCCAGTGATGAGAGCCTGGGGAACTATAGTGGCAACAGAAATCTATAAATAGGATTTTCCTTCTTCTGGTTTTACTTACTCAAGGAATTTTTTCTATTGGAAAAGTTCAGCCTTAATACCTTTTGTGCAAAACCTTGTCACCAAGAGAGGTACTAGTTTATTCAAATAAGGAAGAAAAATAAAAGGTACAGTCAGCAAAGAGTTCAACTTGACCTGTGGATGTGCTTTATCATTTCAGGTATTTGAAGATATTTACCTTGGTACACAACCCAAAATCCAAGCAATACTTAATTGTACTGACAGTATTTTCACATACATTTTTATCTTGGAGATGGGTCTGAAATGGGTGGCCTTTGGATTTAGGAAGTATTTCACCAGTGCCTGGTGCTGGCTCGATTTCATCATTGTGATTGTAAGTTTACCATCTCTGTGTCCCATGCAGGTGGGGGTTGAGGGGTGGGTGGGTAGGGGTGGAGGAGGGGATCACATGGGAGCTGCTTTTCCTGTGTGCTTTATATGAGTGCCTCTCCAAAATATTTTTCTTCACATTCATCCACCAGCAGTCCAGCCTTTCCTCGTTCCCATTCCTCATACGCTGCATCTCATATGCTCACCACCTCAACCCTTTCCATGATAGTACTCATTCACTTCTCTCCATAAGCACTGCTTATGTCTGATGTAAATCTAGGATAACTTTGCATATTTTCTACTTTTACTTCTCCTTCCAACTTTTCATTTCTTTTCAAGACTTCTCAAAGCAGTTCAGCAGCGAGCAGATTAGACTGGTCTCTGTCTTGATTGTCAAGCAACAAAGAGGATTATTCACATACATTTTTTCATTTAATCTGAACAACAATGTTCCAAGTTAAGCAGACCTATATATCACCTACCATATTACAGACAAGGAAACCTGAAGCTCAGAGGGTTAGCAATTTGTTTCAGGTGAAATTAGAATTCACACTTTGGTCTGTATGATGCTAAGGCCAGTAGTAGTAATAGTAGATCACATTTTTCCACTGCTTTCTCTGTACCAGAGAAAGCAGTACTTTGCCATATGCCTCATAGGCATTCTATCTTTTAGTTATCACAGCCTTTCCGTGTGGTAGTTATTGTTATTTTTCCCAGATACAAAGGAGTAAACTAAGTCATAGAGAGGCTAAGAAACATGTTCAAGGTTGCCCAGCTAGAAGTGATGGAGGTGAGACTCAAACCTAGTAAGCCTCACTCCAAAGCCCTTGATTTTAACATCTATCTATATCCTTGCTACCATGACCTAATTAGTTAGACTTTGTCCCTGCTATTTAAGGAAGTAGGTATGACAAATGCATAGCATAAACCGTGCGGTCAGCACACCACACTGGAGAGCCATAATTTTGTTGGTGGGCACAAATAAGCTGTGTGGTTCAGGAATTTCAGAAAAGCATCAGTGCCATTGGAGCTCCAACACAAGCAACCCCATGATTATCATGTCGATCCCTATGAGTTTCCAGAGTACTAATCACTCTATACCCATTATCTTATTAGATTATAGTGAAAAATGCATAAGACAATGGAAAGATTATTGGTATTTCTGATCTAGGACCTGTGGTTTACTGGCCTAAACTTAGGAGACTGATTCTAAATCTTCTTTGTTTACTCTCTTTCTGTGTAACCTCAAGCAAAGTGCTTGAAGTTTTGACATAAATTTTCGTATGGATAAAAATGAGAGTGTAGATGCTAAATTGCCCAAATTTGACCAGATACAAAATTGAAAACATAAATCTAACAATAGCCATTTAAATATCAAAACAGAAGTTGAATACCACACTTTCAAAAAGGATATTAGGCCCAGGTGGTTTTGAAAACAAGTTTAGCAAACTTCCAAGGAGCAGTGGCTATAGACTGAATGTTTGTGTCCCACCCCTGCGCCAAATTTGTATGTTGAAACCTAATCTCCAGTGTTTTGGTGTTTGGGAGGTGACTAGGACATTTATTCCTGAACCTTCATGAGTGGGATTAGTGATCTTATAAAAGAGACCCCACAGGGTTTTCTCACTCCTTCTGCCATGTGAAGACAGGGAGAAGATGGCTGTCTGTGAACCAGGAAATAGGCCCTCAACCAGACACTGACTGCCAGCATCTTAATCTTGGACTTCCCAGCCTCCAGACTGTGAGAAATTTCTGTTGTTTATACATCCAGGCTATTGTATGGTATTCTGTTATAGCAGCCTGAACTGACTAAGGCGAGCAGTTAACTCCAACCTTGTTCAAATTGTTACAAAGAACAGAAACAGAGGGGAGGCTCACAAACTTTTTTTTCTCTCCCGTTGCGGAGCACAGGCTCCGGACGCGCAGGCTCAGCGGCCATGGCTCACGGGCCCAGCCGCTCCGCGGCACGTGGGATCCTCCCGGACCGGGGCACGAACCCGCGTCCACCGCATCGGCAGGCGGACTCCCAACCACTGCGCCACCAGGGAAGCCCTCACAAACTTATTTAATGAGACAAACATAAAGTTGACAACAAAATGAATGGAACAAAAATGAGTAGAGCAAGAAAAGAAATAATCCTGTAAATATATATCTCTATAAATCCCAGAGAAAGCACTCAATAAGTGTGGTCCACTATTACTATTATCAGCCTTAGCATCATACAGACCCAATTCCACGTGAAACAAGTTGCTGATCCTCTGAGCTTCAGGCTTCCTTATCTGTGACGTGGTAGTGATGTACAACACTGCCTAATTCAGGGCATTGTCGTGCGGATTAAATGAGAGAGAGTGTATGTGAATACTCCTTTTATGTTGCTTGTTACTCAAGATTATATAAAATGATCTTTATAATTTTGGAGTAGGAAAATGCAAACACAAACACAAATACATACGTACATACATACAGACATAAGTTTACCTATTTCAAAATGTAAAACTTCCTTTTTTTCTTTTGTTCAACAATACCATTATAGTTAAAGACAGGCTAGACCGTGGAGACAGTATTTTCCATATACATAACAGATAGTTATTGTCTACAGTATGTAAATACTCCCTACAGATCAACAAGAAAAAGACAACCCAGTGTAAGAATGGGAGAAGGATGAAAATAGGCAATTCACAGAAGGAGCTCAAGTTGCTAATAAATGTATAAAGAAATACACACTAGTCATATCACCAGTTAGCACAGAAGTGCATATTAAAATGAGACACTTCTTTTTACTCATCAGATAGACAAAAGTTTTTAAGTTGGATAATATCTAATATGAGAAAGATTTAGGAAAATGGAATTTTTAGTCACTGCTAACTATCGTACAGTCAGTTTGTGGAAAGTTTTGCACTCTTAAGTAAAATTACAAATGAGCCCAATTTACAAACCCAGAAATACCACTTCTAGTTATACATTTAAGGAAAACTTTTGTGTATGTACCCAGGAAAAATGCACACGTCTGTCCAGTTTGCTATTGTTCATAGTAGCAAAGAAATGGAAATAATTTATATATTCACCAAGAGGGAATGAGTTAATAAAATATGAATATTTATATGCTGTAATATTTCATAACAGTTAAAAGGAGCAAACCATGAGAATACATATCAACATGATAGGAATCTCAAAAACATAGTGTGGAGTGATAAATGCAAATTAGGTAGAAATAAAATAAAACTAGTGAAGACATCCCCCCTGGAAGAATGCCGTAGAGTGGGAAAGAATGTGGATGTTTTTATGTTTGTGTGTCTCATCAATGTCTCCCAATTGGTGGAACAGAGACTGGGGGTGAAGTTCCAGGCGAAAGGGTGTACAATGCCCCTCTAGGAACATCTTCCCCACCCATGGTAACAGTCATTTAGTAAAGCCAGAACTGCTAAGCTTTGCCATCCTTTTCCCTCTGGCTAGGAACAAAGTAGGTGTATTTGTGGAAAAGCTGATTAAATAAGTCTCCCAACAGGCAATGCTGTCACAAACAAAAGAACAAAAAAACCTACTTGAAAAAACCATTATAAATAAACACATTTTGAATTGGTGGTGATTTTTTAAAGTTGGTTACAGATTTTAAAATCTGGTTATTCTGTCATATTCACTCAATTTCTCTCAATTTGCAAATATTTTACTTTTACAATGAGATTGACAGGGTAATTCACTTCCTGTCATGCTGAGCCACTCCCCTTCTAAGCTGAGCCTCTGAAGGGTCTGCATAATCAATAAGAATGGCTGAAGATCTGCAAACAGTGGCCTTCAACTTAAGCTCAGCAGGTTTGTTGAGTTTTAAGTTAGTGTATTTACGGAGTTTTCCAATCCTCAGTCCTCTCCCATTGGGAAGAAGTATGTTAGGAGAGAAAATTGGATTTAATTCTCCAAAAGGGAGCTATTTGAATGGAGGGAAATATTAGCAAACAAAGAATTATTTCTTCCTAACTTGATTTTGATATCATTTCAAACATATTGAAAAATTGCAAGAAGTATTGTAAAGAATACCTTATACTCTTCCCCCAGATTCACCAATTGTTAGCATTGCAGCCCGTCTGCCTTATCATTTTTTCTATTTTTTTCCCCCTAAACTGCTTGAGATTACGTTGCAGGCATCAGACTCCATTAGCCCTCAACATTTCAGTGTGTATTTCCTAAGAACAGGATATTATCTCACACAGTCACAATACAGTTATCAAGGTTAGGAATTTAACATGATCCAATACTAAAACCCACATCCATTTTCAAATTTTCTCAATTGTCACAAGGTTCTTTATGGCTAATTCACCCTACCCTCACACCATCACCTTTCCCCCCACCGCAATCCAGGATCAAACTCAGGACCTCACATGACTTATCATTGTCATGTCTCTTTGGTTTCCTTTAATTCACAACAATGTCTCAGCTTTTCTTTGTCTTTCATCAAGCAAATCATGAAAATGCATTGTTCTCACCCATATGGGCTCTAGCTTTGCCAGGCGAGGAGGAAAATAGCCTCTCACCTGCCCTCCCCTTCCAGCAGGGTCTGGCTGGTTTCTGTGTCTGGATAATCCACTGTGGGCACAATGAGTTTGCCTCTCAGAAAGACAGCTCTTAATCCCCACTGGGTTCTCTGGGCACCAAGTCAGGTGCACTACCTGTGGCTTCTTTTCTCACCAGGTCTCTGTGACCAGTCTCATTGACTTAAAGGTCTTGAAGTCCTTCCGGATTCTGCGAGCGCTGAGGCCTCTGCGAGCGCTGTCCCAGTTTGAAGGAATGAAGGTATGTTCTTCAGATGGATGGGAGGAAAGTCAGCTAGCAGGGAAAGGCAGAGAAGCCAACTGCTCTTCTTGGGCTGGGCTTCTCTTAAATTGCCAAGCTTTTCCTGGACTCCTTCCCATCCAGCCCACTGCTTAAAATTTCAGAGATGGAGAAAAGTCTAAGATACAGTCTTCACCTAAAAGTGCTTCTGTGACAGCCGAGATGGGCTCTGGCTTCCCTTCAATCCTAGGGTAGGTGTCCCATAAGTCTCGTAACACCATCATCAGAGGACACTTCTCAAGTGATCCTGTGGCAACAGAAAGGACCCATTATGTATGGAGCTGAGAGCAGGGCTTGCCGTGGGGTGTGGGTTCGGGGCTGGAATGTAAAGACGGGGCTCCAAGAAATCCAGCCCCACACGTTAGGCCCATCCTGGGAAGATCAAGAGCTTGTTGAGTCTCACACGTCTATTATATTTTTCTTCTGTTTTGCTTCCTTAAGGTGGTAGTTAACGCTCTCATAGGTGCCATACCTGCCATTCTGAATGTTTTGCTTGTCTGCCTCATTTTCTGGCTCATATTTTGTATCCTGGGAGTAAGTTTGTTTTCTGGAAAATTTGGAAGATGCGTTAATGTAACAGATGGAAACTCAGTTATAAATTACAACATTGTTGCAAACCGGAGTCAATGTGAAAGTGGAAATTTCTCCTGGTTCACCCTGAAAGTCAACTTTGACAATGTGGGAATGGCTTACCTCGCGCTGCTGCAAGTGGTAAGCGCTGTGGGTTTGTTTTTCACTCTGGGGAAAGAAACCTTACAAGAAGCATAAACCATTTCTCAGCTAATAAAAATACAGTGACTCTATTGAGATAAGAGAATCAAATCCCAGTTTCTCACATGGGAGCTAATGCCCTCTGGAATTGTTCCGCACCGAGCATCTCCAACCTTATTTTCTACTGAGCCTCAACCTCCAGGCGATATCCCATAAGGTTCTGGACCTCTCACTCTGTCCTAAAAGGTGCCTTGCTCTCCTGAGCTCCATCCAGAGAGACGTAGAGCCTCAGATGCTAAGCCACTCCATTAGTAACAGTTCCCTGTGGGAAGTCAGTCCCAGGTCAAATCGTGGTTGCAAGGTTTTGGACAGATAGTGCAAACAGATGTGGAATCAGGAAAGACCCTTAATCAGGCTCTTTGCAGCAGTTGGTTCATAGCTTCTTTAGCAATTTTTAAGGCAGAAATTTTCTCTAGTTTTTAAACTTCTTGTCTTGTGAAAATGAAGAAAAAAAAAATCCAAGACATCTATCCTTGAATTTCCTTCTGCTGTTCTTTTATGTGGACATTCTGTCCTGGCAGGGTGGGACATTGTCTTATGTACATCTGCCCACTGGACTTGGCTGGCTTTTGTATGGCACTTGTCTGTTGATGGCAAGTCTATAATTACGTTCATGTTTCTCTGCTTTCATTGCAGGCAACATTTAAGGGCTGGATGGATATTATGTATGCAGCTGTTGATTCCAGAGGGGTGAGCTTGTGTTCTACCATGCTCTAGAGTGCTAGGATCAAATCAGGAATATCATGACTGCATGGACAGCCCAGAACTTCCTGCATCATAATTCCAGTGGCCAGGATTCTTTGCCTTGTTTTCATTAGGACAAACACTATGAAACAGGGATTAAAAGGATTCTTATTCATCCTCCTATGAGTATTACATCCTAGCATGCTACAAAGTCAAGTCCTCTTTCTCCATACTGACCACTCATGTAGGAGGTGGAGCCAGAAGCAACAGAATCACAGGATGCCTTGATTTTCCTCTCTCACCTCTTCTTCAAGTGAGTGGAAAGGCAGAAGCCAAATTTCAAAGGGTACCTGCTCTTGACTGTGGGAGAGAGAACCTTAAGATTGGACTAGGTCTGAGCAAGAGACCCTTCAATGGCTCCAGGTTCCCCAGAGAATAGGGGATTTCTAGTAATTGCCAACTGTCAAATTATAGTTAAATAAAAAGTGATCATGGATTCCCAAGGTTAGAAGAGTACTCAGCAAAATAGTCCATTTCTACTTCCCAATTGGGAAAATTGAGGAATAGAAAGGAAGAATGTTGCCCAAAGTCATAGCGAGAACAAATGGTTGAATCAAGAATGGAATCAACATTGTTTATTTTTTCCTACCATCACACACATATGTATTATTGTTTGAGAGTATACAGAGTTGATGCCTGGCACATAGTAGATGTTCAGTACAGCTGGTAGTAGCAGTAGAGGTGATATGAATAGTGTTATAGTAGTAGTAGAGGCGATTTATAACAAAGGAAATGTTTAAAAATATTAATGTGCTTATTTTTTTGTCTATATGAATATATGAACTTCACCTCAGTTTACCTTAGACATCCATCTGCCTTGAGGTGGAGCTAGGGGATAGGGAGGAGATCTTATGTATGACAGAAGAAGTATGTGTCTTATATACGTTCCTTGAGTGAATGATGGGTGGGTGGAGGTGTGTGGAGGTGTGCCTGTCCTGATGTGGTCCTGGGATATCCTAACTGGTGTGTGCTAGTATAATGGCCTTTGTCTGTGTAGTCACAGAGCATCCTACTGTTCTCAAATATTGAAGCTGCAACTGGTGAAACCATGGGCCTTTCTCCTCCTTCAACTCCTCCTAGCCTCAAACACTGACTCTCTGCCATATCCTTCATATGGTCTCCTGGCTCAGCAGTCTACTCCCATCCCTTACTATGAAGCCCACAATGGCAGGCATATGGCTGTCAACCCCACGTCCAAGCCACGAGAACTAAAGAAGGTTCAAGAGACCACTGTCTGCCCAATTATGCTACTCCAGTCTCTTCAGTCATCCTGCCTGCCCAACGTATCCTAGGCCTTCCCAGCAGTAGTTTTCCCTTTGAAAAATACCAAAGTTGAGCCAGAACACACATTCTTTGCTCTCCATGTTCCCCTCGATTTACTGGGCCCCAAGCCCCCTCTCCAAACCCAAAGAAGGGAAAATCAGGACACACATCTCACAGCTCTGATGTTCTCTCTCTCTCTGTTTCTCTTTCTGACAGTTCCCTGGGTACAAGTGAGGTGATCCTTTCTGTGTTCCTCTTTCTGTCTGAACCTCTCTTTGCCAGATGATTAGCCTGCTGCATAATCTTGTTTTCAGTGTCAGATACTGAATATTAATGCTTCTTTCCATTACATTGTTTCTAGACTAATGCCTATCCCTAATTCAAACAAGTAGATGCTTCCAGCCAACTGGGACTAAGGTCAGGTACTCTTCAAGGCAAAAGAGAAAAATAATTGTTTCAAACATTTACCTCTAATACACTAGTCTGTATGGTGGGTTTTGAAAAACAAGTGTCATGAGTACATTCAACACATAACAGAGCTATCAACATTCATCTCTATCTTTGAATGTGATCGGGGAAAGAAAACAGAGATGCTCCTGCCACCTTTCCCCAAAATGAATAAAACCAATGACCATGTGAAGATCTTGGACGCTTTTGGTGATGCCTTAAGCTAGGGGAGCTTGATTATATTCCATTCTTGTCCATTCTAGAGCTTGATCATTCATCCACTCATTCAGTGTGTGTGGAGAACCTACATGTCACAAGCTATGCCAGGCACTAGGAATTCAAGAGTGACAGGATGCAAGCACAGGCTAAATACAGTAGTGAGCTCTGTTTGAAGGATATAGCCTTTCAGCAAGGGTTGGTAGTCAGTCTCCTGAAGTGAACATGTCCCTTCTCTGGTGGATATCTCCAATCTGGCTCCCTCCAATTATGCGTCCATACGGACATCCTAGAGACCTTTTCAAAGGACACATATGATCATGCCACTCTCCTCCGTCACAACCCTTCAATGATTCTCCATTGCTTAGAAGGAAAAGCCTAATCCTCCACCACACCCCCTCCCCACTGTATGGTACCACTCAAGCTGTGCTGGGGGAAGCTGAAAGAGGAGAGAGGGGCTCCCTGCAGGGCCACGGCTGACTGGAGGAGGCTGGGTGGTTAATGCAGCTGCTACCAGGCAGTTAAGATGGCTCATGTTTTTCTCCAGTAATTGTTTTCTTCTCTCATTTAAAAAATCCCTAACAGGAAGGACAACAGCCAAGGTTTGAGGAGAACTCATTAATGTATGTTTACTTCGTAGTTTTTATCATCTTTGGCTCATTCTTCACCCTGAATCTCTTTATTGGTGTTATTATTGACAACTTCAACCAACAGCAGAAAAAGATAAGTATGGGGGTTGTCCTGATTTGGTATTTTTACCTGCCTTCTCCAAAGAGCTTGAATGGAGCATAAATCTGTTCTAAATTGTTGTGCAAAGTAGCCTTTATCATCTGCATGAGAACAAAGAGGGAGCCTCCTGGAGAAGAGTCTTGAGGATAAGGCTGAAAAGGAACTAAAACAGCTGGGTTTTGTTAAATCATTGTTTTTACTCTCCACTCTACCCTCTTAAACAAAGGAACTCTAATAGAAAAATAATTACCAGGATTAGTATTTATGTCATATTTTAGTAACCTTTCAAGCGTACCTTGTTATCCAGGATAAAAAGAGTACAAACGATTCCCGATTTAGGATGGTTCAATTTACATGACTTTAGCTTTATGATGATGCAAAAGTGATACTCACTGAGTAGAAACTTTACTTCAGATTTTGAATGGTGATCTTTTCCTGGGCTAGAGATATGCAGTACAATACTCCCTTGTGACACTGGGTAGCAGCAACCACAGCTCCCAGTCAGCCACGCACTCACTGAGGGTGAACAATCGATATATACTTACAACCTTCTGTACCCATACAACCATTCTGTTTTTCACTTTCAGTACAGTGTTCAATAAATTACATGAAGTATTCAACACTTTATTATAAATTAGGGCTTGTGTTACATGATTTTGCCCAACTATAAGCTAAAGTAAGTGTTCTGAACATGTTTAAGGTAGGCAAGGCTAAGCTATGATGTTCAGTAGGTTAAGTGTATTAAATGCATTTCAACTTACAATATTTTCAGCTTACAATGGGTTTATCAGGATGTAACACCATCGTAAGTACAGGAAAATCTGTAAACGCTCCTTTTTCAATAAATTTGTGTCTTGCCTCTCAACACCCAAATCTCAGCAGATTTACTGAACTTACTTGGAAAGAAGATGGTTGGGGAAGAGACAGGTTTTTTTAGGGAGTTTTTTTCCCCATGCATTGTAACAACAGATATTTATTTTTCTGATTCTGCAATCTATAGGAGCATTGTAGTAAATGTGGAAAAAAAGGAAGAGAAGAAGAATATTTAAATCACCCATAAGATGACCGCCAAATAATAGCCATTTTAGATTAAGCCTCATCATCCTGTTACTTTTTAACTAAATATTTCTTTTACACCGTTGAAATTATGTAATATTTTAAACTATCCTCTCCATTAGTTATGAGTTCATGTCATGAGATCATCTTTGTTATAAGAATTTTCAGGGCTGAATTTCATCCCATATTAGGGATAGATCATAATTTGTTCTAATCATTCCCCCCACTCCCCTTTTTAAGGACATTTAGGGTCATTTCCAAATTTCTTGCTCTTCTGAAATAATCATGAACATTCTTAAAATCCTCTCTGTGTATCTCTGATTATTTCCTCAGGATAAGTTCCTAGAATTTAAGGCAATAAAGATATATTGTCAAATTACCTTTCAGAAATGCTGTTCTGGGTCCCATCCTTTTGCAAGATATGAAGATGCCTGTTTACTCTGTTCTAATCATTCTGACTTTTGTAATTTTTAATTATCTTTTCCAGCTCGATGGGTAAAAGTGTTATCTCATAGTTTTACATTCATTCATTTGACCGTTTATGAAGTTATATACTTTTTTACGGGTTGATGGCCATAAGTATATCTTCCTTGAGTTATCTGTTTACTGTCTTTGTCTCTTCTTAAAATTGACATTATCATCTTTTTCTTATGTTTTTATATAGTAACTCCAATTTGTGACTTGCTTCTTACATTTTTGTAATGACAGTTTTAACTTATAGACATTTAGCATATTTATGAAGTCAAACTCTCAATCTTGTCCTTTTTGGCTTCTTTTCTTGCATTTATATACTGAAGGCATTTCTCAGTCCTAAAATCAGGTAACTAAATATTCACCTTTGGTTTTCCTGATTGTTTTGTGGCTCTCTTATTTTTCTCTTATTGAACTTTTTTAATTCATCCACAATGTATCCTGATACTGTTGAGCTTTCTTAGTGTCTGCTGGGAGAATCATTCACGGTCCCAGGCAACTATATGGCTGCTGTTATTCAGGAGTGTACTATGTGGTGTCACCTCTGTAATATGCAGCTTGATTGCAATCAATACCTACAATTTGAATGTCAGGCCTTGTGATTTTAGATTTAAGTTTACATTTGAAATCACTGTTTTGATCAGTCCATAGCATTTTTGTTCTGTTTTGTTTTACTTTTTATTACAGAAAATTTCAAACGTGCACAAGAGTATGGTAGAGTGAACCTAAAATATCCATCACCCGGCACAACATTTATTGATTTAAGAACATCCTTATGCCATCTATGCCCTTACCCAATCCTTCCACCGGATTTTTTATAGAGCAAATCACAGATATCGTATTGTTTCATTCACCGATATTTCAGAACGTATCTCTTTTTAAATATAACTACAATTCCATTATCAAATCTAAAAAGTTTAATATGAGCTCTTTAAACTCGTCAAAAACCCAGTCAGTGTTCAAATTTCCTCCAGTCTTTTATTTTCTCAAAATCTGTATTCATTCTTTCATTGATTGAGTGACTGATATTAAAGTTTGTTTCTTTTCAAATTAGGATTCAAATAAGGTCCTCCCATTGGATGAGTTCCTTGCTCTCTGGAATGACAATATGTTCTAGGCCTTGTTTATACCCTTCCTTCCTCAGATCTGGAATCAGCCATTTCTCTAAGTTGTGCTGGGAGGTGGTGTTCCAAGACAGTCTGGAATGCTTATTGTGATTATTTTGAGACTTTTTCAGTGTACAGAGCTACTTCAAATTTAGGACTACAAGGAAGTATATATGTGGAAATATGAATACTCATCATTCAAATTTAGGACTACAAGGTTTTCACTTAACCAGTACATCTATATCTCCTCTTTTCCACACTGAGAAAACTGGTTCTCATGGGTACAAAAGATGATACCTTAAAATTTTCCATAACTACTCATTTTATTTATCTCACAACACACACATAGGACAGTCTCATAATAATAGTATTAATAGTATCATGATGCATAAGATTATTGAAGACACTTGTGTCTGCCAGGCATCCTGAAAAAACCTGGTTAACTTCTAGGGCTGTTCTTTTTTTCAATTTTATTTTTTTTTACTGTGCAAAACACTCATAACATCTTATCCATTTATCATCTTATCCATTTTTAGTGTACATTCAGTGGTATTAATTACATTCATAATGTTGTGCAACCATCATCACCATCCATCTCCATAACTCTTCATCTTGTAAAACTGAAACTCTACATGCATTAAACAATAACTCCCCATGCTCGCCCCCAGCCCCTGGTGGCTACCATTCTACTTTCTGTCTCCGTGATTTTGACTGTTCTCAGTATCTCATGTAAGTGGAATCGTACAGTGTGTCTTTTTGTGACTGGCTTACTTCATTTAGCATAGGGTCCTTAAGGTTCATGCATGTTGTAGCATATTACAGAATTTCCTTCCTATTTAAGGCTATGTATATACCATGTTTTGCTCTTTCATCGTTCTTTTGATGAACAATTGGGTTGCTTCCACATTTTAGCTATTGTGAATAAAGCTTTTATGAACATAGGTGTGCAAACATCTCTTTTAGGTCTATACCTAGAAGTGGAATTGCTGGATCATATGGCAATATGTACAGTACACAAAGGTTCTAATTTCTCTACATCCTCACCAGTACTTGTTTCTGTTTTTTCGATAGTAGCCATTCTAATGGATGTGAGGTGGTATCTCATTTTGGTTTTGATTTGCGTTTCCCTAATGATTAGTGACACTGAACATTTTTTTCATGTGCTTACTGGCCATTCATATATCTTCTTTAGAGAAATGTCTGTTCAAGCCCTTTACTTCTTTTTGAATCAGGTTGTTTGTCTTTCTGTTGTTATATTTTTGGTGTCCTCTATATATTCTGGATATTAATTTTTTATCAGGTACATGATTTGCAAATATTTTCCCCATTGTGTGGGTTGCCTTTTTACTTCATTGATAGTGTCTTGGACGCACAAAATTTTTAAGTTATTATGAAGTCCAATTTGTCTATTTTTCCTTTTGCCTTTGTGTCATATCCAAGAGATCACTGCCAAATCCAGTGTTGTGAAGCTTTTGTTCTATGTTTTCTTCTGAGAGTTTTATTGTTCTAGATCTTACATTTATGTCTTTGATCCATTTTGAGTTAATTTTTTTATATGATGTTAGGCACTGATTCAGCTTCATTCTTTTGCATGTTGATATCCAGTTTTCCTAGCACCATTTGTTGAAAAGACTGTCCTAGGGCTGTATATTTTTGGTCCATACTGGTGGTGTAAATTCAAACCCCACACCCTCATCAAGGCAGGCTTGGATTCACAAGTAATCAGGGAAGACTGGGTTTTTACCCATAGTACAGACTGAGACAGTGTTCTGGTTGTCTTCCATGGCCAACACACAGGTTTGGTTTTCTTCTTCACCCTTTAATGGCAGCACTTGGAGAGTTCCAGATTCACACAGGGCCCTTGGCCTAACCCCACTGCCTTCTCCCCATGACCCCCTTGTAGTTATTAAATCCCAAGATTCTTGTTTTTACAGAGATTAGCAAATGCCTTTAGGCCAGCCATGGCTTCAGGACTAATTTGCTACTCTTTCTTTTTGATCTCTCTTGATTTTCAGAGGATGGAGATGTTCCTCACTTTTGTGCAAGTTCAGCTCTGTCTTTTTTTTTTTTAACATCTTTATTGGAGTATAATTGCTTTACATGTTCCTCACTTTTGTGCAAGTTCAGCTCTGTCTTTTTTTTTTTTAACATCTTTATTGGAGTATAATTGCTTTACAATGGTGTGTTAGTTTCTACTTTAGAACAAAGTGAATCAGCTATACATATACATATGTCTCCATATCTCCTCCCTTTTGTTTCTCCCTCCCACCCTCCCTATCCCACCCCTCTAGGTGGTCACAAAGCACCGAGCTGATCTCCCTGTGCTATGTGTTCCCCGCTAGTTATCTGTTTTACATTTGGTAGTGTATATTTGTCAATGCCACTCTCTCACTTCGTCCCAGCTTACCCTTCCCCCTCCCCGTGTCCTCAAGTCCATTCTATTTGTCTGCGTCTTTATTCCTGTCCTGCCCCTCGGTTCTTCAGAACTGTTTTTTTTTTTTTTAGATTACATATATGTACGTGTTAGCATACGGTATTTGTTTTTCTCTTTCTGACTTACTTCACTCTGTATGACAAACTCTAGGTCCGTCCACCTCACTACAGATAACTGAATTTCGTTTCTTTTTATGCCAGCTATGTCTTTTAAAGGAATTCTGTTCCATTTTATCCCACATTTCTAGATGTTTTACAACCCCAATTTCCAGAAATGAAAATCTTCATTTTTCTATTCTTTCTTCCCCAGTAGTAAAATCATTTAAAGCTCTCTAATTTATTTTGTTTTCTGAGAATGGCTCTGGACAGATTTTTTTGAAATTTTATTAGTAGTGATATATGCATTCACATATTTAGGAGAATTTTAATTGTCACTTTGTAGGATTTTTTGTTTAAATTTTTGTTACTAATTTCTATTTTTGTTTCATTGTGGTTTGATTTACACAACTTGAAATATATTCAGTTTTTGTAAAGATTCTGTGGATGTTTGTAAAGAATTTGTAATCTTTGCTTATATTATAAAAAGAGAAATGTAACTGATAAAAGTAACATTTTTCCCTTCGTCCTTAATTTAAACCCTATGTCCTTTCAGCCCTCCCCCAGAGTCTCTTTCTGCTTCCCATTGGAATTTTAGGAATTGTTGATAGAAATGTAATATAACTTTAAAACTGTTTCTGAAAATTCAGAACTTGTTTCCAAAAATCCATTAATGATAATTAGCTCTCATCTTCTCCATATACTTAGGTGGCCAAGACATCTTTCTGACAGAAGAACAGAAGAAATACTATAATGCAATGAAAAAATTAGGATCCAAAAAACCTCAAAGGCCCATCCCAAGGCCTCTGGTGAGAGCACTTGATTGACTCTAAACACATAGATGCATTAAGTGGTTATGAGGAACTCAGATATCTGTAGTGCCATTCTCCTTTAATTTGTAAATTTATAGACTTTACCTAAGAAGTCAGTATGAACCCAGGTACACTGATGTATGGTTCAAGTCCTTCGGAAGATTAGACATTCAAATTCAATAGTAAGAGCTTGGGCAACAACTTTAATTTACCTTTTAGAGAGCACACAATAGCTGCTTAGTATATACTCATTGCAATGATGTGAATTTAGCAGTTAGTTTTAATTTACTCTTGGCCAATGGAAAATGTATTTATAATTTTTTTTTTTTTTTGCGGTACACGGGCCTCTCACTGTTGTGGCCTCTCCCATTGCGGAGCACAGGCTCTGGACGCGCAGGCTCAGCGGCCATGGCTCACGGGCCCAGCCGCTCTGGGGCATGTGGGATCTTCCCGGACCGGGGCACGAACCCGCGCCCCCTGCATTGGCAGGCGGACTCTCAACCACTGCGCCACCAGGGAAGCCTGAAAATGTATTTATAATATCTTTTACCAACTTTTTCTGGTATGAAGTTGAGGTCATGCATACTCACTTCCACTTTACAAGTATTTATGATAAACTTTCTATGTCAGGAACGTGCACACTTTTTCTGTAAAAGGTCAGACAGTAAATATTTTAAGCTTTGCAGGCCATGTGGTCTCTGCTGCTACTACTCAGCTTTGATGTTGTAGCACAAAAGCAGCCGTCGGCGATATAGAACAAATGTGCTTGGCTGTGTTCCAGTATAACTTGATTTATAAACACCAACATTTGAATTTCATATAATTTTCGTGTGTCAAAATTTTATTCTTTTGTGTTTTTCTCCCAAAAGTCATCCTGAGTAAAACCCATTCTGAGCTCACGGGCTACACTAAAACAAGTGATGGGCCATATTTGGCCTGTGGGCCATATTTTGCTGAATCCTGCCTTACGAGATACTAACAGGACTGCTCTGTGCTTACAGTCTAATTGAGGAGCTGGAATTTGAGAGCATTAGATTATAAAGTAATACAACAGGCACAGTTGGTAGCTCTGACAAGTGAGTTTGAAGGCTTTCAAGACAGGGAGGATCAGTGGGGCCGAAAAGTCTGGGAAAGCAGTATGGAAGAGGGGCTTACTATCTGATACATGTAGAGGATTTGGAGATTTTCATTCAAATATGAGACCACAAATTATCAAAGGTATGTTTAATTTCCTGCTATTCCCAGCAATCAGAACAGAGTAAAGTGCGTTCTCAGTAATTATTTGTTGAATAAAGGAGCATGTTTTCGGGCATACACAAAATCCATCCCACTAGGATTAAACAATTGTGTTGCACTAAAAATGTCTACAAATGTCAGGGCCAAGTGTTTAGAATTTATACAATGAAGAATTTTTACAGAAGGGTTAATGCTAAAATTATCAATATATTTGGGAAATTTTCATCTGACGACAGTATGTGGAACTTCATTTTACCTAAGTCAGATCTAGCTTTTAAGTACCAAACTCACTTTCTAGTACTAATTTCACTTTGAAGTTCTTATTTGAACTTGAGCCAACAAAAAAGACAGACAATTTTTATTTACATGTGCATGCTATGCAACAACCAACTCAGTACCAGTTGGTCCCAGATTTGGAATTAACTAAAAAACTCATGAGACACATATTTACCAGTTTACTTCATGAAGGATATGAAGCCAGCAGTGCAGCACACAGCCGAACAGAAGTTGCATTGGCATGGATGCAGCTTCTAGGCCTCTCCACTGCACTGGACATGCTAGGATGCAAGAGATGAGCTTGAAGTGGGCATGGACTGCTTAAACGAATGGAAGCTGCCACCTCCATTCCTTAACTATCTTTTATAACTTGTTTGTTGCATGGCTCGTCGGGGAGTAGGTGCTATCCCAAAACCCTTCCTGCATGGCTCACCAATCAAGATTTCACAATGAGTGATTCTGACAGCCACGTACAACTCACCAGTTAATGCCGAACATTTATCTTAACCTCTGTATTCCAGAGAGCAGTTTTGCATGAGATAAACCCAAAAGCATATCCCCTGGTGTCCCTGAGTTTGAGCTAAGACTTCAAATCAGCTGTTAGCCCTTAACTCACAACTTTACCTCCCCACAGATTTTTTTTTTTAATCTCTAAAGTCTACATATTATCTTTTGGCCTTTGGAACAAAGGAATAGCAATTGCATAGGGGGGAAAATACAGCTGTTTTAACCTGAGAAGTGATGGATATTCTTTCTAGCAGTAAGAGCAAGAAATCTGGAATAATTTCTGATTCTACCTGAGGCACCCCCACAAGGTAGCTTCATTACTGGAGTTAAAAATTATCCTGAGGTATAGGAGTCCCTGTATGTCTTAGAATGACATAGAATGTGTTTTGATCATCTACCACGTTTGGTAGCTTATACTTTTAATCTCCATTTTCTCAATATTAGAGTTGAACTGTAAGGCCAATGCTTACCGTTCCTTACATTTATTCTCAGCCCTCGTTCTGCTTCCCTGGAGAGCACCCTTAAAAGTATCTTTTCTCCAGGTCCTTTCTGACTTCCTGGATGCATTCTCACATAGAAAATGCGCTTGACCTTCAAGTTTCTTCTCCAGACTCCTTGATAAAAGCTTTAGGGCTCCTGGAGCAAAGTTTGAAAGACACCAACTTACGGGTAGTATCTTACCACTGCCGTCCTGACCCTCTTTCTTCTCATTGCCCTTGCTCTCCCTGAGTGATATCATTCATTCTCTAGGTTTTAGTTCATATCAGTACTGGTGCTGTTGTACTCCACATCTGCATTCCAGCTCTCTGCCTGAGCTCCAGACCCATACCTCTACCTGCCCATGTCCCTTGGATGCCCCACTGGCACCTCAAACTCCATGTGCTCAGGACACATTCATCATCTCCCCCCAGAACTCCTCATCCCCTGTTCTCTGGTTGTTTGAATGCTCCACCAAGCAGAAATTATAGCCTCAGCCTTAACTTTCCCATAACCTACTCCATTCAAACGTTCTCTGACTCCTGCTGCTTCTACTTCCATATTAGTTCTTAAACCTAAATGCTCATGTCTTTCTCCACTGTTACCACCACAGACCAACATCTTCTCTTGCCTGGATTACCTTAACAGGTGCCAGGGGTTATAAAGATGAATTCTTAGGGGGTCTATGAGGTTTCTAAATAGAATACTATATGTATACTTTGATTAGATGATATGTAATGTGAAATAATCTAATATATACATATAATGTAAAACAACCAGTGTATAGCCAAGTATGCCATACAATATCAGTGTCTGAGTTTGTGTTTAAGAAAAGTTTCCACTGAAGTAAAGAACAGAGTGGTGCGTTATAGATGTTAAATTAAAGAAAATAGTGGAATAATTGAGTCATTTCACTGCACATGGTAGATTAGACATGCAAACTTGAGTTAGAACCTGTACCAGAGCAATCAGCACATTTTTACTTTGGAGCAGGCCATCCATGTACAAACCAATATGCAAGTTCACCATCAGTAATAACGTGAAATAATCAGTTTTTCTGTTTCCATTTTTAGTAATCGTTGGATCAGAATCCCATTTATCTAGCCTTATCTTTAAGTGAACAAGAATTAGAAAATCGGCATTCAAGAATTGCTTGAATACAGAGTTTTGGTTAAGTATAAGGTCTGATTATTCTGAACTGACAAATGGAGGCTTGGAGATGTTAATTCTCTTTCGTCCAACATAATTATGTGAGCAAGTATTCTCTGCATTAGTATTATTGAAGTCAAAATACAGAAGCAGGTGAAATACAGAGACCGAACTTCATTTTTTACGATTAAATCCAACATGAGCTATTTTATTTCAGCAAAAACAAATCATCCACCCCATCAAAGTTATGTTGTTACTAAAAATTTAATTAATTTACTTATTTGGTTTCAAAATGGAATTAAAGCTATAAGCCTACAACTTAAAATCAGTTATCTAATTAAATTTAATGAAATTAAATGAAAAAATATCTATAGAAGAATTTCTTGCCCTTTAAAAAAGGTCTGTGCATTTTCCAAGAAACTGCTTTAATTGTAAGAGAGGACAAATGCTGCTGTATGTGCCTTTCAATGTATATGATTTCATTCCTACAACTCGAAATGATCTATGATTCCTTTTTTTTTTTTTTTCTCCTCAGAACAAATGCCAAGGTCTTGTTTTTGACCTAGTTACACACCAGGTCTTTGACATCATCATCGTCATCCTCATTTTCCTCAACATGGTTAGCATGATGGCTGAATCATATGGCCAGTCCAAAGCCATGGAACTCTTCCTTGAGCGTCTCAACCTGGCCTTTGTGGTCGTCTTTACAACTGAGTGTCTCATCAACATCTTTGCTTTGAGGCAATACTACTTCACCAGTGGCTGGAATTTATTTGATTGTGTGATCGTGATCATTTCTATCGTTAGTAAGTAAAATTGGCAGCCAGAGGGGCTTTATTCTAAAAGCCAGAAGTAAACTTATAAATCTTATCATTTGGAATTATGTCCAGAGTATCCACAAAGCAGAAAATTAAGCTTAATGTGATTTCTGAAAAAATAGACAGATGAACTAATGCCATTCTCTTTGGGGAGTTGCTAGGAGATACAGAGTAATTTCCATTCCCTTGACTATCTACACCATTGAAAGAGAGTTAAATAATTCTGTGGCTAATTTATTCAACGGAGATAGACAAAATTAAGATGACTTAAAAGTTTTTGTGGGGCTACCTGCTTTATCCAGGGAGTTGAGTCAAAGTTCTACCTTTCTTGTGCAACTAAAGAGCATTTCTTGTTTTAAGGATTTGGCATTTAGTTTCCATGTTTTTCCCTAGTTCAAAATCCATGTTGATGTCAGATCACAATTACTGTGCCCCCGTGACATTGCCAGGCCTTCCCGTACCTCCTCCTTATACAGGGCCTCCATGGCCCAGCCTAGATGGGGCTTGCAAGAGTGTGTCATAAGGACAAGTAATGCTTTATCTTTATTCTGTATCTCATGTTAACTTAAACCACAGTGGGAACTACACTTGTCTCAACTGCTCGGATCCCATTCACCAACCAGCCTCACTCTATAATCAGCATATTTTTCTTAACCACAGGCAGAAATTTACTGTAAGATTTGTGGAAGAAGAATAGGGAAAAAAGAGGGTTATTGCCATATACCTTTTTATAAAACATACACACACACACACACACACACACACACACACACACACACACACATCAACTTTGAAATTAAATTCTTCATGATTAAGCTATAAGATTTCACTCTGGGTTTTTGAAGTCTGCTTTTAACTAAACTGATAATTTGACTTTTTATAATTTTGTAAAACTGCCCAGGGGCTCTTCTCATAGTTCAAAGAGCAGCGAAGACAATGAAAACTGATTTCACAAGTGGAAGTTTTTGTGCTATCTCAGAAAGGATGCATTAAACAGATATGCTGGATCAAAATATTTTGATTCCTATCACCACAGCAGCAATGCAGATGTTTCAGAGACCAAGAAAATGAATGGTACAGTTCATAGTCTTCTGGTTTCTAAGCCATAAAGTTTATGTAGATAAGGTTTAGTAATAGATCTTTCCACATGGTTACGGTTACATAGACTGTTAATCATTATTAGTCAATTCCAAGCATTATTAGTCATTTCCTGGTGAAATCGACAACAGCAGTAAAGTTAGAAAATGATGATAGGATGAGTCTGAGGCAGCCCTGTGAGCACTTAAAGGGCTCTTCCTCCAATATGCAGAGAGCAGCTCATTCATTTCACTCTTTACTGACCTTCTTGCAGGCAGTGCCAGGCACTGTAGAGTTCATGGAAATATCTCTGACTTCTGTCCTATGAACAACTGCTAAGCGATTGCAGCTACACTGCATAACACTGTATAGCATCTTGTTCCAATGGATGAGAAGATCCACACATTGAGCCAAGTCCTACTCACCATTGTGGGCAGTATTTTCTATGCTTTTGCCGGTTGATCTGCCATCCAATCCTTAGCCTCTACATTTTCTCACGCTCTCCCCTGAGCTTTTAGAGAAATACAAAATGAGTGTGAGTCAAACTTATTCTCTCTATGGGGTTTACAATCCAATTGAGGTATTAAGACCTACCACCGTAAGGAATCAGAAAAAGAGAAATTGATTGAACCCCAAATCACATGGTACACAAAAGAACTGAGCTCAGAGAAAAGACAGATTACTCTGGGCTTGATTACTCAAAGAAATATTCATGGAGGAGGTGGGCCTTAAAGGAGGGACCTCCTCCAGTTGCTGCTGAATTGGTTTGTAGTCAATTCCACATCTCACCAGAGTTGCCTGCCCAATTAGCATATGAATTAAGCTTCCTTGATACAATCAGGCAGTCGGTGAAGTATATCACCAACTAGTTCTCTTTAGTCATTAGGTGATGGCAGGTAGTGTTGGCCATCCATCACCCCTAATGACCTTAGAGGATCCCCAGAGCAAGAACCAGGCCATGTCTATACAAGGCAAGCATGTTCCAGCCATTCTATAATATTTGGGCCAAAATGTGAGTTGTTTTAAATTCTTGTATCACTTGATTGCAGAGCAGGCAATGAGAAAACAGGGTGACATTTTAGGCCAAATATTTAGCAGTCTGCAGAAACCTTTGCTTGAGATGCCATTTCTGGTGTATCTACAACATCAGAGAAACTGTCTCCAATTTAGTTCCTTAAGCTTTTTGAATTAGGTCTTCCAGAAGAACTTGGAATGAGCATACTGACAAAGATGAAAGATCCATGGCAGCTTCAGCCCAAAAATGAACATCCCAACACCACCCTCTTTCTCCAGCCCTGTCCTCGCCTATAGCAGGCTGTGTTCAAATTCCTCTATAATAAGAACCTGTTTGTTTAAGAAGTTTTGGGGCTGGGGTCGTACAACTTCCACTGATAGCTTAGGCTCAAGCTGACCTTCAGTAGCAGAAATTTCTCCTTGCATTCTAATCTAAATAACTCCATCCGTAGTTTGTTTTCCATTCTATATATACAATAACTATGGAAAACTTATATTTGTTACCCCATGAATAACTTTAAATGCCCAACATAGATAATGTACTTCAAGTGCATACGATAACGAATAAAATAACCTGTCATAAACAGCATTTTATTTCTTTTCCTTGGGGGTCTTCAGTATTTTAGATGTCCTATCCCATCTAAAGTCCCATCTAAAACTATACGAACCTTGGAAATTATTCTCCAACTTAAGGCACAGATATATATTTTCCCTGATATAGGTAAAAAAATCTTAATTTTGTACATAAATTAAGAAGTAATGATAGAAAGTTGGTCCCACTCAGATTCAAGGCAGGAGAGAGAGGCTATGTCAGTCTGCCTGCTGGAAATTGATTGACCCTTCTCCTTCTCTTAAGGTACAATTGTTTCTGCCTTGAAAACCCAGGCACAGATTCCTTTCCCTCCAACACTCTTCAGAATTGTCCGCTTGGCTCGGATTGGCCGAATCCTGAGACTTGTTCGGGCAGCACGAGGAATCAGAACTCTCCTTTTCGCGCTAATGATGTCTCTTCCCTCTCTATTCAATATTGGTCTTCTACTCTTTCTGGTTATGTTTATTTATGCCATTTTTGGTATGAACTGTTTTTGCAAAGTGAAGGAAGAGTCTGGAATTGATGACATATTCAACTTCAAAACTTTCAAAGGCAGCATGCTCTGCCTCTTCCAGATAACCACGTCAGCAGGCTGGGATGCCCTCCTCAGCCCCATGTTGCAATCAAAAGACTCATGTAACCCCAAGTCAGAGAACTGTCACCTCTCTGCCATAGCCATAACCTACTTCGTCAGTTATATCATCATCTCCTTTCTCATCGTGGTCAACATGTATATTGCTGTGATTTTAGAAAACTTCAATATAGCCACTGAAGAAAGTGAGGACCCTTTGGGTGAAGACGACTTTGAAATATTCTACGAAGTCTGGGAAAAGTTTGACCCGGAAGCAACACAATTTATCAAATATTCTGCTCTTTCTGACTTTGCTGATGCCCTTCCTGAGCCTCTGCGTGTGGCAAAGCCAAATAAATACCAGTTTTTAGTCATGGACTTGCCCGTGGTGAGCGGAGATCGCCTTCATTGCCTGGATATTCTGTTCGCTTTCACCGCTAGGGTACTTGGTGAGTCCAGTGGCCTGGATAGCATGAAAGCAGTGATGGAGGAGAAGTTCATGGAAGCCAACCCTTTCAAGAAGTTATATGAACCCATAGTCACCACCACCAAGAGGAAGGAAGAGGAAAGATGTGCTGCTGTTATTCAAAAGGCCTTTCGAAAGTACATGATGAAGACCAAGTGTACCTTGGAAGACAGGCCTCATTCACCCCTCCAGACACTCTGCAATGGAGACTTGTCCAGCTCTGGGGTGGCCGAGGGCAAGGTCCACTACGACTGAGCCCCTCACCTCCACCCCTACCTCACAGCCTCAGAGCCTTGCCTCCAGCCTCTAAGCTCCAAGGGGTCCACAGCTCAGTGTGTGAACAAGCAATGGACTCACTGAACTAGCCATTCCATTTTTCTTTTTCTGGCTAAAAGAAATGATGTTTCTGAGTTCACTTCAAATGGTTCTTATAGAGATATAAGATAAGGCTGCCCGACTATAACCACCGGTACTGTTTTAACCAGGAAAAAGACACTAAAATGGGCTGTAGAGCAGGGGTCTCCAACCCCCGGGCTGCAGACCGCGCTACCGGTCCGTGGCCTGTCAGAAACTGGGCTGCACAGCAGGAGGTGAGCAGAGGGGGAGCCAGCAAGATTTCATCTGCCGCTCCACATCACTCGCGTTCTGCCCGAACCACCCCTCCGCAACCCAGTCTGTGGAAATACTGTCTTCTGCAAAATTGGTCCCTGGTGCCAGAAAGGTTGGAGACTGCTGTAGGGGACACTAATGTGAGGATTGAAGCACAGTTCAAATTATATCAAAAGAAAATAATAAGAAACAGAAAACATTAAAATTTTAAATTGTGTTTTTCCAAATGTTCTTAAGTACAGTATCCAATACCTTTGTTTGATGTTTTCCCCAATAAAATATATGGCTTGTCACACATAACTCTTCTGCATGCTAAGTGAAAATTCAAAACCTGCCAATAAATACTTATTGCAGATTTTTTTTTAACCAGCATTAAACTTTTGGGGTTTATTTCAAACCTAAAAGCATGGTCATGGCTTGTCAGTTACCACCGTATCTTTCACCAGCTTCAATCTCTGTTATACATTTTCGGGGAAAAAATAAATAAAGAGACTTTCAGTTTGCATTTCATTCAGACACTACACTAAAAATCCTCTTGCTTGGTGGTTGTGTCAGTAGTGGTTTAAATGTGGTACTTTGCTTGGAATTAAAGGCGGGAGCCAGTGGTGTGCTGATAAGTGTGTAACAATTGCTCTTCAGGAAAAAAAAGCCATGATTTGTAGCATTT